GCTCTCTGAGGGGCTCCACTTTTGGGCCACTCTTAGGTCGGGTCTGTCCCCCCTACAGGGGGATGTTGGGCGAAGAATTAAACTAAACATACTCACCACATATTCCCAAACTGCTCAAAAATAGTCCATACATCGTCCGATGACTATCTTTTCCACTGTTTTTGAATGTCCCCCCTGTAAAGGGACAGGCCCGACTTAAGGCTACCCTTGGAAAGGCGTGAGGCTCGAGCTTGGAGGATTCGAAATGGCCTGACGGGGCCCCCAAACGCATGACGAGATCCAATCGGAAATTTGGCGCGAGTTCCTGCTGCAAGCCTCCCACGGAGCAGGAGCCACCAAAACCAGGACGGACCCGTCAGAAACCGGCGGCTCACCCGACTTGCGCGAAGTCGAGTCTTACGCTCCTCCCCCCTGGACCCCTCTCGGGATCCGACCTGGAGTTCCTCACGGGGTCTGGTCCGCTTCCCTCAGCGACCTCACTCCTGTGAGGAGCCGAAGCGGGTGGACTGCCTCAGGGGGGGGGGGCCCTGGCTCGGAGTCGACGACGCCTCGCCGATGGACCGCCGAAGGCCCCCGAGGGGACAGGCGAGATGGGGCCCTCGGCCCCAGATAATGCGGGATGACGATTAATAAAACAAAGGGAGGGAACGATTGACAAACATAGTTTCCCGCCATCTCTGCACAATTTTCTGACTGGAGGAGAACGATTAAAGAAATAGTTTTCCAGCCCGCGGCCAGTTTTTTCTGATCGTCATCCCGGGCGCCGCCGCGTGAACACGACCCCCGGTCATTTATCAATCGTCATCCTCCATTCGGCGAGGAAGGGGCGACTCGGGGGGCAGCTGGGTGGGACCCAGGTCGGCGGCGCGCCCGCAGAGGCAGCGAGAGGGAAGCAGGCCTCTTCAGAGGACGGCGGGAGTTCTCAGGAGGAGGAGGAGGAGGAGGAGGAAGAGGAGGAGGGGGAGGAGGAGGGGGAGGAGGAGAGGAGAAGGAGGAGGAGGGGGAGGAGTGGGGTGGGAAAGGGGGGCGGAGCGAGTGGGCCAGCGAGCGAGGTGCCGCCCCGTGGGCCTTGGTGATACCCCGTTCCAAACCATGGCGGGACTTCTTCAGTTCTCAGAAGCCTTCGCGCCTTCTGAGAGACGTTGTTTTGCCGGCCATCGCTCGGACGTCCATTCCCTGTTGCTTTTTTCGGTTTCGTGCGTGGCTGCTTCGCCAGATCATCAAGGATGCTCCTCGATGGTCCTCGCCGAACGAAGAATGCACACACGTCCGAGCGATGCCAAGTGTGCGTCTCCAGGGAGGGATTCGAGACCCTCTCGGAAGGCCAGGGGGGGGGAGGCTTCCGAGCCTTTCGAGGAGGCCCGCCCCTTCGCCCTCCCCCCCCCCCCCAGGCTCGCCGCCGATCTGGGGCCCCCGTCGGGACCTTAGCGGGCCCTGGAAACGACAAGGCGGTTTTTTTACCGGTTCCGTTTTGCCGTTTTTGTTCCCGGTTCCGACGCCGTTTTTGTTACCGGTTCCGTCGCCGTTTTTTTACCGGTTCCGGCTCCGGTTCCCATCCTGGAGCCGTTGTTTTGTTGCCGTTTCCGGTCGCCGTGTTTTTACCGTTTCCACTTTCAAGGGACATTTGTTTCCCTGACCTTCCAAGACGGCTAAAACATAGCACGCGACTTAAAAACCTGTCCCAAGGCTATTCTCCGTCTTGGTGTTCGGCTGTTTCGCCCAGTTTGTTCTATGTTTTTAGGCCTCCGGTGCTAAACAGTAGCTCTCTGGAAGGTCAGGGTTTTGGAAACGGTGAAAAAACGGCCCCGCCGTTTCTGGGGCCCACAAAGGTCCCAGACCCCCGACGTCGTGATTTTTTCATGACGTCGCCCCCCAGAGGTCTGGACCCCTTCCCCGGGACCGGTTTTCGTCCTGCATCGTTTTTTGACGGTCCCGAGGCCCGGGAAGGGCCCCCAGAGGGCGAAAATCGCGAAAAACCTTCCGTCGTGATTTTTTCACGACGCGAGGGGGTCTGGGGTCGGGGCTTCCTCGCTGCGTTTTTTTTGTTTGCTGGCCGTGGCGACGCGTCGGCGCTCGGGGCCCCCGAGGCCCCGGGAGGAGGCCCAGGCCTCGAAGGGCTGCCTCGGAACAACGACGCTGCTTTCGAAGGGGAGCTGGGACACACACACACACACACACACACACACAAACACACACACACACACACTCACACACTCACTCACTCACACATTCACACATTCACACATTCACACATTCACACATTCACACATTCACACATTCACACATTCACACATTCACACATTCACACATTCACACACACAAATACAAATACAAATACAAATACAAATACAAATACAAATACAAATACATACACACTAGAACCACGCGCGCGCTTCGCGCGCGCTTAGGTTCTAGCTAGGAGGCGAGCTTGAGTCAACGAAAGTCGCAGGGAAGGGGGCAGGGGGAAGAAGGCCAGAGAGCGCTGAAGGATACAAATACTGGAACCCTCTTGTGATTTTGTGGGGGGCCTCGTCCGGCCGCTCGCTGGGAGTTTGACGTAGCTTCTCGGGAGCCTCTGAACCTGTCGGGGGCCTCCTGGAAGCAGGTTCGAAGCATTTTGGGGGCCGATTTGGAGCTTCTCGGGGCCTCCTTTGGGCCTCTTGGGGGTCTCCTGGGGCCTCTTGAGGGGCCTCCTTGGGGCCTCCTGGCGGCCTCTTGGGGCGGAAGGCTCGAGCTTGCGGTTCGTGGTCCCCCTCTGGGCCCCCTCTTGGGCCCGTCTTGGGGCCCTCTTGGGCCATCTTGGGCGCCTCTTGGGCCGTCTTGGGGCCCTCTTGGGCTGTCCTGGGGCCCTCTTGGAAGCTTCTTGGGCCGTCTTGGGGCGGTCTTGGGCGCCTCTTGGGCCGTCTTGGACGCGGTGAAAGCCCAAGAGGCGAACATGCGAAAAATATACGTTGTCCCATAGGAATGGCACGACTTTTGCTTCTTGGGCCTCTCTTTTTTTTTTTTTGTTCGTGCGCCCTGGCACTCGTAAACCAGCGCGAGAAACTCGCAGCCTCAACAGCAACGCTTTGTTGTGTCGACTCTTGGACAGTGCAGCGGCCACGTACACCCTGCCGCATTCGCAGGAGGTGAAACTCGGAGCGCTCGCGGCCCGACGCCATGCCTGCCGCATCGGGCCTGCGAATGGCTGTCTCGCGGGCGTGCACTGCAAAGCACGAAGGCTACTGCTGGAATGGTCCCGCAACTCGTAGGGTCAAGAGTGCAGCACAAAAAGATACATACCCAGAAGTGTCGATGCAGCAGCGTTTCGTTTCCCGTTTGGGGCCGATTTGGGGCTTCTCGGGGCCTCCTTTGGGCCTCTTGGGGGTCTCCTGGGGCCTCTTGAGGGGCCTCCTTGGGGCCTCCTGGCGGCCTCTTGGGGCGGAAGGCTCGAGCTTGCGGTTCGTGGTCCCCCTCTGGGCCCCCTCTTGGGCCCGTCTTGGGGCCCTCTTGGGCCATCTTGGGCGCCTCTTGGGCCGTCTTGGGGCCCTCTTGGGCTGTCCTGGGGCCCTCTTGGAAGCTTCTTGGGCCGTCTTGGGGCGGTCTTGGAGGCCTCTTGGGCCGTCTTGGACGCGGTGAAAGCCCAAGATGCGAACATGCGAAAAATATACGTTTTCCCATAGGAATGGCACGATTTTTGTTTCTTGGACCTCTCTTGGGGTGCCTCTCGGAACGTCTTGGGCTGATTTTGGAAGCCTTTTGGCGCCTCTGGGCGGCGTTTTGGCGCCTCCTGGGATATGTTGGGCCGGAAGCTCGGAATTCGAGAGTGGCTTTCTCCTTCTGGGACCCCTCTCGAAATCGTCTTGGGGTTCTCTTGGGCCGTCTTGGGGCCGTCCTGAGCCACTCGTGCGCAGCCTTGGAGCGCTCCCGGAGGCCTCCTAGGCCGTCTTGGAGGCCTCTTGGGCCGTCTTGGACGCGGTGAAAGCCCAAGATGCGAACATGCGAAAAATATACGTTTTCCCATAGGAATGGCACGATTTTTGTTTCTTGGACCTCTCTTGGGGTGCCTCTCGGAACGTCTTGGGGTGCTTTTGGGAGCCTTTTGGCGCCTCTTGGCGGCATTTTGGCGCCTCCTGGAGCCTCTTGGGCCGGAAGCTCGGAATTCGAGGTTGGCTTTCTCCGTCTGGGACCCCTCTCGAACTCGTCTTGGGGCTCTCTTCGGCCGTCTTGGGGCCGTCCTGGGCCACTCGTGCGCAGCCTTGGAGCGCTCCCGGAGGCCTCGTAGACCGTCTTGGGCGCCTTTTGGGCCGTCTTGGACGCGGTGAAAGCCCAAGAGGCGAACATGCGAAACATATACGCTTTCCCAAAGGAATGGCACGACCTTTGCTTCTTGGGCCTCTCTTGGGCTGCCTCTCGGAGCGTCTTGGAGGCTTCTGGGACCTTCTTGGTGTCATGACAGGCGTCTTGGAAGGCATCTGGAGCCATCGGAGCGCGTTCCGAAGCCGCCTGCGAACGATCTTGGACGGCGTCCGGCGGTCCGACGAGCCTCCGGGCCCCCCGGGGCCCACATTTGTGGTCGAGGTCCCGGCCCCGGGCCCCCGGACCCGGTGCGCCGTTATATGTATACACACAAATATAAAAAAGGATTCCCCATGTCTTTTCCAATCTTGTCTGGGCTTTTGTCTCCCCCGCCCCACTTCCCACAGTTTCCCATGTTTTCCAATATCTTTTCCTGGGAATCGGAGATGAATCGTGTCTGTGGGTTTCTCTCCCTCCTGCGTTTTGTCCCCTTCGGGCCGCCCTGGCGCTTTTTTTTGTCTGTGTGTCCTCCCCGGGCCTCCAAGCAGAGGCGCCTCCTCGCGATCGCCACGGGCGGGCTCCGCCCCCCGAAGGCCCCAGTGGGGGTGTTCGCATGCGGTTCCCCCGCCCAGGGCAGCGTTTCGTAGCCCCATAGGGAGCTCCACCGAAGGCCCCAGTGGGGGTGTTCGCATGCGGTTCCCCCACCCAGGGCAGCGTTTCGTGGCCCATAGGGAGCGCATGCGGTTCCCCCACCCAGGGCAGCGTTTCGTGCCCCATAGGGAGCTCCACCGAAGGCCCCAGTGGGGGTGTTCGCATGCGGTTCCCCCACCCAGGGCAGCGTTTCGTAGCCCCATAGGGAGCTCCACCGAAGGCCCCAGTGGGGGTGTTCGCATGCGGTTCCCCCACCCAGGGCAGCGTTTCGTGGCCCTGGCCGCGGCCCTGGTGGCCATGGCCGTGATGGCCGTGGCCGTGGCAGCCGTGGCAGCCGTGGCCGTGGCCGCAGTGGCCGTGGGCGTGGGCGTGGTTTCCGTGGGCGTGGTGGCCGTGGGCGTGGTGGTCGTGGCCGTGGCCGTGATGGCCGTGGCCATGGTGGCCGTGTTTGTGGTGGCCGTGGCCGTGATGGCCGTGGCCGTGGTGGCCGTGGTGGCCGTGGTGGCCGTGGGCGTGGTTTCCGTGGGCGTGGTGGCCGTGGGCGTGGTGGTCGTGGCCGTGGCCGCGATGGCGGTGGCTGTGGTGGCCGTGGCTGTGATGGCCGTGGCCGTGATGGCCGTGGCCGTGCTGTCCGTGGCCGTGGTGGCCGTGGTGGCCGTGGTAGCCGTGGTGGCCATGGCCGTGCTGGCCCCTGGCCGTGGTGGCCGTGGCCGTGGTGGCCATGGCCGTGGTGGCCGCTCGCCGTGGTGGCCGTGGCCGTGGTGGCCGCGGCCCTGGTGGCCATGGCCGTGATGGCCGTGGCCGTGGCAGCCGTGGCAGCCGTGGCCGTGGCCGCAGTGGCCGTGGGCGTGGGTGTGGTTTCCGTGGGCGTGGTGGCCGTGGGCGTGGTGGTCGTGGCCGTGGCCGTGATGGCCGTGGCCATGGTGGCCGTGTTTGTGGTGGCCGTGGCCGTGATGGCCGTGGCCGTGGTGGCCGTGGTGGCCGTGGTGGCCGTGGCCGTGGTGGCCGTGACCCTGTGGCCGTGATGGCCTTGGCCGTGGTGGCTGCTGGTCGTGGTGGCCGTGATGGCCGTGGCCCTGGTGGCCATGGCCGTGGTGGCCATGGTGGCCGATGCGGCCGTGGGAGGGGGGAGGGGAACGATCGGATCTAGGCAACAAAAAGCGGAAAAGCATGCGCATCGACTTTGTAGGTAATAGCTTGCGGAAACCATACTTATCTTATTTTGTTTTTCCGTGTTTTTGTACCAGCGACTTGTGGAAGCCGTACTTCCGGAAATTAACTTAAGGAAACGGTGCTTATCGGATTTGGGCTGCCCCCCCATTCACGAAACCGAGGAACCCCAGATCCACTTACTCAAACCCGAAAATGTACTCCCTCGCCTGATCCTCCTCCTCCTCCTCCTCCTCCTCTCCCTTCCCCGGGATTCTGCGTCTCAATTATAAGAAGAACCGACATCGAAAAATCAACATGCAACGTCGCTATGAATGCCTGGCTACCACAAGGTGAACAATCCGACACCTCGGGACTTCTGCGTCTCAATGATGGGAAGAACCGACATAGAACGATCAAAAGCAACGTCGCTATGAACGCTTGGCTGCCACAGTGTGTACAATCCGACACCTCGGGGCTTCTGCGTCTCAGTGATAGGAAGAACCGACATCGAAACATCAAACAGCAACGTCGCTATGAATGCTTGGCTGCCGTAAATCAGTTATCCCTGTGGTAACTGTCCTTGCACCTCTAGTGGGGCATTTCTCAGCGCTCCGTCCCTCCCCTCCTCCTGCTCCATTAATGATGATGATGAGGAGGAGGAGGAGGAGGAGGAGGACGAGGAGGAGGAGGAGGAGGAGGAGGAGGAGAAAATGGAGAAGTGAGGGAGGAAGAAAAAGAAAAACGATAAACAGAAGGAGGAGGAGGTGGAGGTCGTTACAGGAGGAACAAGAGGAAGGAGGAAGAAGAGGACGAGAAGGAGGGGATACATAACGCACAGGAGCAGGTTGAGGAAGAGAGGGTGACGCGAAGGAGCATGAGGATGAGGAGGTAGAAGTAGAAGCGAATGATCAGGTGAGGCGGAGGGACAAATTACTCCGACGGAGGGACCCCGCATGAGAATCCGCTTAGTTTGCCCCCACCCCTCTCCTCCTCGCCCTAGTGGACACTCTCCCCTCGCCCGCCGATTTGCCTTCTCCTACTCCCTCTCGTGATATTTATTCTACTCCTCCTTCTCCCTCTCCCTTTCCTCATCATCATCGCTCCTTCCCTGCCCCGTCCCCGTCCTCATCCTTCCCCTGCTTCTTTTCCGCGCGCTCCTCCCCTTCCCCGTGGTCGGGGCAAGCGCGTCGATTTTCCTCGGCGCCGTCGCCGCCTCGGCCAGAGCGCGCGCATTCCCCGACGGCTGGTTCGCAAAACCTTTGGGACAATCCCGCGGGCCGTTGGGGCGCGAGGGCAGGCCGTCGGGACAACCCCGCGAACCAGACCGTTGGGACAACCCCGCGGGCCTCTAGCTGCGCGCCGCGGCGCTCAGGCGGGAGGCAGACCGAAGCCAACATCCGCGGCGAGCTGCTCGGCCTCGGACTTCCCGCGCCGCACAAAGAGTCCCGACTGGACTTAAATGGCGCCAGACAACGCAGAGGCACCAACGACGCCCAAGAGCCAAGAAAGCGCCGAGATAGCCCAAATATAGCACAGCAAGCTGGCAAACCACTGCTGAACCGATGCAGCCGCAGGAACGGAACGATATCTCCCGAGTGTCGATGCTCTTAGCAACTGTTTCACCATTCGCATGACCATGTTCACGGGTTCCAGGCAACACGGGGCGCATTCCGGGCAGAACGGAAAAGTTCCCGGGCAGAACGGAAAACTTTCCGGGCAAAACGAGAAGCTTTCCGGGCAGAACGGGACGCGTTCTGGGCAGAACGGAATTGCAAGTTGCGGCGGTGGTTTTGCGTCGCCAAGTGGCCGAAAACGAAAAGATACACTGCTTCTTTGCGGCAGTCTTGCGTCGCCAAGTGGCCGAAATCAACCAAAATCACTGAAAAAGAAAGCAAATCCCGGGCAGAACGGGAAGCTTTCCGGGCAGAACGGAAAGCTTTCCGGGCAAAACGGAATTGCAGGTTGCGACTGTGGTTTCGCATCGCCAAGTCGCCAAGTGGCCGATTGCGTCAGGAACGAGGCGCATGCTGAGCGGGACCGCTCCCAGAGCTGTGCTTATTGTTGTTGTTGGGCCAATCAGCGGCTACCTCCATCATTCTTCATTGTTGTCGTTGGGTTGATCAGCGACCCAATGGGGATTTGCATTATTTCGGCTGGGTCGGTGCAGGATAGCGGGGAGGCACACATTGCTGTCTTCGAGTGGGCAAACGACTCTTTTCCTCTTCGTTCTCCTCCACTTCCTCTGTCCTCCACATCCTCTCCACGTTCCCATCCATCTCCGCTGATTTTGCCGTCTTCCTCGTGCTCCTCCTCCCCGCGCCCTCCCCTTTCTCGTCTCCACTCTGACCTCAGGACCTCGGGTCCTCCATCTTCCCAGCCATATCTGCTACAGCCTCGCGAATGGGTTTTCGAAGTCCATCATCGGCACGTGCTCATGACAATGCAACGCAATGCAATTTATTGCAACGCACCATTGCAAAACGAACGGACATCGGAGGGTGGGAGGCCGAAGCCTAAGAACATAAAGGGTCCCTCCCCGAAGTCGAGGGGGATCTAAACCCTTGCGCTGGTTGTAGCGGGCAAATGTTGGCAAATGTTTCGCAGGCGCGACAGAACCGACTATCGGGGCGCAGCGTCCTCATCGAAGTACGCTTCGGGCTCAATGTCAACTGCGCTCTCAATGAAATTGGCCCATAAGCCGAAATGGCACTCAGCGTTCGGCACCTCAGCGTTGTCACCAAGCAGCGCCCAAGCCTTAAGCATCGCCAGCGTCTTGCCATCATCGCGGATGGTGTACGTCTCCTGGCAGTTCGCGTGCGGATGGCACGTCATCTGGTAGCCGCCGCGATGAGCTTGTTTCTTGATGCACGAGAACTTATGCTTCAAGCGCCCCCTTTCTGGCCACGGCGTGCCCTTGAACACCTTCCTGCGCTTTGCAGCAGGCTCGGCTGGCAAGGCCACCTCGTCGGCGACGGGCGGGTCGGGCTCAGCTGGCAAGGCGGCCTCGTCGGCGGCAGGTGGGTCACAGGCATCGTCGCTGTCGCTGTCGCTGGAGGGCGATGACGATTCACCACTCGACAGCCCAGGTGAAGATGGCACTTCAAGCGAGGAGGACGAGGGAGAGTGCGGCAGTTCAGGCAGTGCAAGCAATTCAGGCAATCCAGGCAGCTCGGGCGCGTGCGGCCACTCGTCATCGCCCGCGTCCTGGATGCGGCCAATCGTCTTCGCCCCGCGCGTCCTCATGGCGCCCTCCTTGGTGCTCTTGCCCAAAAGCCTGTTGTAGTCCGCAACGGTGGCGCTGGGAGGGTGTGGCACAGCGACGCCGTCCACCGACTGCAGCAATGCCAGGAGGTACTCGTGCTTGATGCTGTCGCCCCGATGAGTGTACCAGACCTTGTCCTGGGCAGGGTCCATGCCAGCCGTGTAGAACGATTCGATTCGCATGCCGCGGTGCCTCCTTGGAATATGTTGGTGCTTCCACCCGCGTGCCTCCATTTCCAATACCAGTTGGAACGTTGAAGCGGTATCCAAGCACGCAGGTCTCATCTGAAATAGCGGGCGGCTTTCCGCCAGTCTTCGCCCATACTGGACCTCTTCCAATCCGACGGCGGTCAACTTGTAGGGAGGTCCTTCGCATATGCCGTCAGCGACGAACATCTCGAGCAAGCGAATCTCATGCTGACTCGCGCCGCTGCTGGAAATCCGCCGATCCAAAGAATGGGTTTTCGAACGCCTAAGCTGAAGTCTGCAGCCCCGGCCTGACGCCGCAAGGAGCGACAGGCCAGCAATCACCCAAGGAACGCGCCGACAATCCCTCCAGAGGGTCCACGGAACGCACCGAGAAGCTAGCAACATGCCCTCCCCCCCCCCCGCACCAGGAAACTGCTCGCGTCGGGAGGGGGGGGGGGGGGCGAGGGTCCTTGGATCGCGGCGCAGGCCAACAGGCGACTACAATAGTGACGCCGCCGCCTCTGGATAATAACTTATCCAGCAAAGAAGGAATGCTGGGCAACAGGTGCTGCGGCACAAGCTGAGTGATGTGTCGAGGCAACTGTCGAACCATAACAGAACCCTCTGAAGGCCACCAACGGATAGACTGTATTTGCTGCCAATCGAGGAGATGGGGGCTGAACGCGACAGCAATCGCATCCGCGCAGCCTGTGCTGATGTGCATCGGGCTGACGCTCACCACTGCCCCTTCCAGCTGAGGCCCTGGTACATCGAATACATCGTGGACGTTGATGACCGACCGTCCTTTCAAAGAAACCGAATTGTGAAGACGGGTCCGTTGGGCTTTCGCGGGCGCGACGTTGACCACGGAGAAAAAAACACATCTTCCACGGGTGCGCCCGTGCGCCGAACGTCAGGCAAGAGCTCCAGCATGGTCGACGGCGGATTGATACAGCAGTGGCCAACATCGTCTTCCAAGGGTGCATGGCGGACGCGAAGTGCGCTGGCTTGCGGGTTCAACAATGATGACAGGCGCTGGAAGGCCTCAGGATTAACGCTCGCCGACATGATGCCTTCTTTCTTACATGCTTCGGATGCCAAGTGTTTCAATGCCAATTTGTGCATGTGGCTCTCTAGCGCCTTGCTCTCATCAAACGCATGGCTCGCTCCTGCGCCTCGTTCCAAGGGTAGATGCGTCCTGACGGGTGGAGGCCTCATGGCGCACTTGGTGAACGTGTCTGCGTGGTAAACCACTTTGTAAAATATGGGGCTTCTCCCTTTGGACCTGGACTGCTCTCTAATGACGTTCTGCACAGGCGGGTGGCTAGAAAAGCCCAGGTGGTTCACGGCGTCCCATCCGTTGCGGACCCTCGTCAACAAGGTACTGAGGGATTCGAGTATCTGGGGCTCGTTCTCCAACCAC